TTCCTGCTGCATTTGGAATTGGGTATTTGGATTAAAGACCATCTACCACATCTGTGTCCTCTTGCAACAGAGTGAGGAACACCATTTATGGATCAAGAGTGGCACAGAGGTGTCAACCTACTTAACCTTCTATCAGCTTTGAACATGCAGCAAATCAGAATGGTGTCTGCAAAGAGAGCTTTGCAGAAGAAATAGAGGCTGTTAGGACCTTGTGGCACCTATGGGACATATAAGGGTTGAACATTACAGTCTAGAATATAAATTCCTAAATTTGATCCGAGTTCCCTCTAAAAAGAGAAGTGCTTTTGGGGCTAGCCTATACATGGATTAAGTTTCTAAGATGCTTCATCTCCAAATAAGAACCATAACAAATCTTTAAGAAAATGCTATCTTTGTTCACTTTATTCCTTGTTACTGTTATTGTTGAGTCTTAAAATATAAATATAATAGTGAAGAAAATTAATATTGAAGGTGAATGTGGAACTTGAGGAGGAACAACGAAAAAGAAGCAAAAAAGAAAGAAATTGTAAAATAAAGTCATTTGAGATTGTTTCTATTAATAGCTATAATAATAAAATAACATTCCTCTATCTTGAGTTGCATTGCATGATTTAATCAATATTTCCAAAGCAATATCATATCCTCATGGATGATATTGCAAAAGCACATGCTGATTTCCTGTGCTCTTTATAGGTCATTTTCCTATGCACTGTAAATGTGAAATTTATATTTTCAACAGAAGTAGCAACTAGAGATTTCAACTAGATAGTTCAGACAAATAAGCTACTCAGTTCTGATTTCTTTTCATCAATTCTATTCAAAATAATTTACCTTATAAGCTGCCAAGTGCAGAGCTGTAAATCCATTTCTTGTTAATCTGGATGGGCGCAATCCTTTCAGCATAAGAGTTCTAATATGTGATTTGTTGCCTTTAGAAAGAAAATTGGAAAGCAAAGTCATTTACAGAAAAGAACGTGCAGATGAAGTAAGAAACTTCTGTGTGAGTTTGAAAGCGGAGAAATAATAGGTAGCTCATCTGCTGACCTGAAGCAAGTCATAAAATATATTTCATGAAACCTCAAAATGGAATTAGGCACCATGTCTTTATCCGCTGGGACAGTTGCAGATCTGGCCATGTACTGGCTCACTGTTTGTTCACACTTTAATAACGATTTGTTAAGTATAGTTGAACTTCTAAAGAAGCAAAGTCCTCTTTTAATATCCAGACCATGCTGCAAAGAAATCCATAAACTAGCAGATGCTTCCAGAATCTCTGGTTTCTCAGACACTTAACTCCTTTGCCCTTTCAGAATGGAAGCACTGCTCTCCCTCTCTAGTCAACATTATTACACGGACAGTCATTTTGAGGGATGCTAATCAATGTCAGCATGGGCAAGCAGCTTTATCCTTACCTTTCTGATGCACAGTGATGATCTCAAAAAATGTAGCTGCCTTCTGAATACTTATGACAGTAATCAAGGACAATGTCGGATCTAATAGCTTCTCTCCCTCCTCCAAGTACCGTACCTAATTAATTAACATTGTATGTTTGCTTAAACTTCCTCTCAGCAATCCCGCCAATTGCTCTAATGTTACCAGGTACTGATACCATCTTTGGATATGATCTTGCACTCTCTGAAATTAAAAGTAAAGATCCACTTGGTTTTCAGCAGTGCAGGTCCTCCTTCATGATAGCATCTAACTAAGACTGAGCAAATCATTTATACATGAAACTGTAGGGTAAAATTCTCTTTGCTTCTCTCAGCCAATTTCTGCTGAAAATTGTATAACAAGTGCAAAGTGTGTGCATGAACTAATGACTCATTATGTGGATAACAGAGCAGCAATGTGGATCAGAGTGGAAAATTTCACCATCAGTGTGTTTCTATGAACATCCCAGAAGACATCTTGCACTCTTCTTGCATACTCTGATTTGCTATCTGCAAAAATCCTATCAGCTGATATTTTTCACTGAAGCATTTGAGTTATTCTTCTTATAATCACCATGAAATAAAATACAGGCATTTTTATTATACTAGAAAAATAGATGTTGTATGTATGGCAAAGTATTGCTAAAACTACCTCCCTAGCCTGAAGTCTATACCATGTACTGAATATGGAAAAGTAGAGGAAGACTAGATGAGTATGGATTGATTAAATACTGCATATAGAAAGTAATTTTGAATTAGTTGAACACCTGTAGCAAAATATGCTACATTATCAACCAAAACATTTCTTGGACTGAAGAATCAGCCGTAATGGGGTTCAATGTAACTGGATTCAACCCCCTTGACAATAGAGTTTAGAGTAACGCTTACTTATCCAACTGTCAACAAGGACAACACAGAAAGAAATTCACTGAAAATACAATCTTCCTGATAGCTATTAGACAGAACAAATCAGTAGCCATGTAAATAAAATGTTTAAAGAATATCATATTTCAAATACATACCCCCACATATGCAACATAAATGAAGAAGAGAAAGCCCATTTTCTGTGCGGTAATTTAAATTTACTTTGCAGAAGGCTTCATCAGAGCTGAAAAAAGACATTTTACAGATGATTACTGTTTTCATCCTTTAGCACAGTTTCTTTCATTTGGAAAAAAATTAAAAGAGAAATCTCAATAAATTTTTTTTTGAGACACAGGGCTAAATCTATACCAGTTTACACTTTGTAAATTTAGAAATACTTTACTGATATCAAGTGAGTAGTCCAGATTTATTGTTTTCTGAACAATCCTGCTATTCAGTCACAGTATATACATTCTAAATTCAGCTAAATTAGAGAAAAAAAGAGGAAAGACTCTTTAGAAATATAAACAATCCATACAAAACCAGTTTCTTTATTCATGCAATAATAACTGAGAAATATTTTAAAAATCTATATATTTGTTCTAAAATGATGAGCAGGACATGCGCAGAACTAGAAGCAAACAAGCCAAGTCAAAAGAATAACCAGAAAAATCCTTTCAGAAAGTGAGTTTATGATGTTCCCCAAATGAGATCATAGAAACTCTACACAATCAATACATGGAAACATTTATATGAAAACACTACAGAAGCACATACACAGAAGGAAGGTAAGCAAAGCTCAGACAAAAAAATGGCAATGATTAAAGGAAAAATGTTTCTAAAGCATTTTGAGGAATGAAGTAGTCTTTCTAAAAGTTACATTTCTGGCTGAGGATTTGCAGTTCTAATGGTACACTAAGTCCTAAGAAGATCTGTGGGTGTCCGAGACCTGAGAGGACAGGACAGGAGGGGCTGGAGCAAGGCAGAGGAGCAGCGGTGCCAGGATGGGACTCTCACCTTTGCTTGAAACACCCATTACTGACAGTTACTTTAAGGCATCAGAAGGAACATGGACCCCTCAATGTTCAGCAGACTAGTATAATTTTATAGCACTGTTTTTCTGCTTAGTTTTATTGCACTGGAATGTGATATATTTTAAACAGAATTTTAAAATAATTTATGGAATTTTAAAATAATTTATAGATCCTCATTTTGACTTCCCATTAACTTCTATTTCTGGTTTTGATATAAACAATTAAAATATTACAGTTTGTACTCACATCCTACTAAGGAAAGGCATGTTTGCACTTAAAATTCTCAGACAACTAAATGTCATTACATATTGTGACATTGACAAAATGAAGCTCAATTTAATGTTTAATTTTCTTCCACATTTTTGGTACAGTGTTACATTTTTGTATAGCTTAATGATTTAATGGTGCTTTCTAGGCCACACAAGGATGAAACGAATAATTAAAATTAAGTGATTATTATTAATACATTTCTAACGTAATAACTCTTAAATAGCATCCATACCAAGTCTAACTCATTAAAAGACATTCAGCATTTGTATTTGATGCTCTGTTCTTTTTTAGCAAAAAAAAAAGAACATACATAAAAATGCTACAACCTATGTAATATTATAATTCATTAATTTCCATTCTCCTTTTCCTGTCATATAACATTTGTCAAAGCTCAAAAATAAAGTATTTCATAAAATAAAGCTAGAAAAACTTGGAGTAAAGGGAATAGATAGTAACCTAAAGATGCTTCTAGTTTTACAAAGAAACATGAACAATATCTTTGTATAAGACTGTGCACAATGCAACTGGACATCTTTATTTCACATAGTTAATGCTCATTATATTATGAGAGAGCAGTGACCTCTCCATAGCTAGAGCTATACCCACCTCTGGTTGTAAGTCCTATCTAAATATGCATTGTAGCTTTACTTGAAAACCTCCTGAATGCCTGAAGTGTCACATGTATTTTTTAAACAGTGAAGAGAGATTCTGAAAAGTGTGAAGGAAAATGAAAATTCTATTTTTACTTACAGATTGTTGAATGATTACCATACTTGAACATTTGAGCTTTTGTCATCGAGTCTCATGGGTTTCCTTTAGCAAAGACTGACTTGTTAGTGCTCCATCAAACATTCTAAGTAATTACATTTGGTGAAAATTAAATACACATAGCAATTAATATTTTTGTGGAGAATGCCGATTTGGGTCTGTAGAGAGAAGTTTAGGTTTTTTTCCATTCATTATCAATATAACAATGATCATGGTTTAGCAGAACACTTATATTTGTATATCTATAAATCCACTCTGACTGAGTAGCACTGTTAAACATATTTAACATGGTTACAGTTAAAAATAAGGCTTTAATACTTCGCTCTCTTTTAAAAATATAAAACTATGCAAAGTTCCCCTTAGGAAGATGACCTCTGTTAAGCAAGGTGACACTTAGGCCTCTTCTTTCAATAAATATTTCACTAATTTATTCTTTAAATAGAATTTAAAATGCAGACAAAGCCAGAGACTTGTCTTTACTTCTGTTCTCTTAGTTAAGTCTATCCTAAAAGAAGTTCTGGTTGTTCAATGTGAGTTATCATTCTAAACCAGGAATAAAAACTGTGTTTTCATATTCTTTTTCATGAAGTGTGACAAAAATAATTTGGAAGTGTTAAACCACTGCATTTTTCTGGGTTTTAGTCTGAAAGAAACCATTCTAACTTCCAGAATTTGGAAGTTAGTTGCTTTTCCAGTTTAGTGGAGTGGTTTGAGAGCTATCAAATTGCAAAGTGACACATTATAACACACAGAAACTGTGGTTTGTGCTCTCATTGTGTTCTTTGGAGGGTAGGCTTCAGGACGGCATCTCCTCCATGCTGAGGCATCCAGTGCCATGACCATTGCAATCACTTAGAGACTAGGCAGAATGAGGAGCACCCATATTGCAGTACAGGAGGAGTGCGTCTCCAGGAATGTCCGTCCACGGAAGAAAATGGCGGTGTGATTACAGATGTACAAAGTATTGTGCTGGTAAGTAAATAATTTAGTGATTCTAACTCAAATTAAATGAATTGAAATTAAACATTAAATATGCAAAATTTAAATATTTTTCTTGTGAGAAATTTTGACAATTTTTTTCTCATAAAAATTGGCTTTTTGGAAAATACTTTTCCTATTCAAAAGACCACTCTGATGGAAAACTCTGACTTCCTGATGTCAATACTGAGTGTTTTATAATGTTCAGGAACAGTGCATGATTTGAAAAGGATATGGGCCTGATAAAAATAGAGCATAGCATTTATTTATAAATGCAAAAACTGGACTTATTTTGCCAAAACTGTGTGCCTCAGTGAGATTAATTCTTACATCAGTCTAGATTTTCATATGCATTCTTTAGAAGATGGGTATCATGTGTTAAGGAAGCTCATTTTTTTGTGTCCTAAATGTAAACTGCTTCTGTATAGAACATTTTTTTTCACATATTATAGTCACATTTACCTTTGTTTGTTGACAGCCCTTCAGCTACCACTTCCACTTTACTAATGTGGAAAATGTTTTGCTCAGTAAAAATAAAATCTCATTCTTCAAATATGTTTTATCTTTGTGCAATTCTTCTCTGACATACTGTGATTAATGATAGTGATATAAGGCTCATCTATTCTTCAGGTTTTCCTTCAGGGGCAATTGAGGAAAAAATAAATTCCAGGTTCTGGGAAGCAAGTCCTTTTAGTTAACTTGTCTTTGCTGTAACGTGTTGGGTATGCATGGATGTACACACGGTATGTATTGATGCACTGTGGTGACTGCAAGGTGGAATGGATTGCTTTGTTTGAAGGATGAATTCTGCAAGTCTCAAAATCACAGAATATTATCGTGCTGTAAAGTCATGTCTCAATTTCAATTTCATGTCTTCAATTTTTGTCTTTAGAATTACATTAAAAATTCATATTCCTAGCACTTAATATGTGGTTAAGAATCCAGGTTTTACCATTTTCGCTATATACTTAAATTTTCCTCTTCTCCCAGTTTGAAAACTAATATTAAAAAGTTTCAGTTTGTTTTCTTAATGATATTCAATTTTAATATGATTTGAGTTCTTATAAACTGGGAAAATGTTAATGTTTTTGTAAGAAAATATTGCAAGGAAAGTTTTATATATTAAAAGCTGTGATTAAAAGGCCTATATTGAAAGTGAAAAGTAGCTCAAATGACTACACTCAGGGCCGAGTTTTATCTAGGTGTCCTCCTAATTCTTTTCTGAAGACATAATTGCATGTTTCAGGGAAATGAAATTCTGACTTTTTATTTTTAGGGTGGTCTTTTTAGGAAATCATTGCACTAATAGCTCTTAGAAGTACCATACTGGATCATGGCCAAAGTGGTCAGCACATTGCAGTGAAAGCCCAATGTTGTCTTTAACTTAACAGGCTCAAACAGTGATAATTATACTAGCTGAAAGTGAGCATGATGAATAATTTATATGACCAGTTTGGCTTTTTTGAGCTTGTGATTTATTTCTGAATAGAATCCCCTATTTTTTCAAGCGGTTTTGGTGTCGAAATTATTTACCTGATCATTTTCTTAACTTATTCACAGTCAATGAGCTGTGTGTTTTCTCTGTTTGAGCTTTTCAGATAATGAACATGTAAGTATGTTACTTGGTTGGGTGAACTTGATTGTTAGCATGTGTTGTCCTGAGAAACTGATTACAATCATGAATCTGAAATCCACTTTCAGAAGATAATCTGCTTTTGTGTTTGTTTAAAATTCATTACTTCAGCAATATTCCTGTCTGAAGAAGTACGTTAGCAAAGCTGAAAAGTACACAACAAAATTAGACTTCCCATTAAAGCTAATTCATTTACAAAAGCATGTAGGCGTTTGTTATAAAATATTGGCACTAGTAATTAACAGCCACTAATTTTGGCACTATGCTGTGGGACTCTGGCCCAGAACTGTGATGACATATTCCCAAAAATAGACATTAAAGAGCATGCATTCCATAGGTGAGAAACTCCTTCCATGAGAAAACATGTGAAACTGAAAATACTGTTTAATAGCAAATACTCATTTGAAAGAAATTCATAAACAGGTTTCCAGAACATTTTACCTAAAAACATGCTTTAGTTCCGCCAGCTCCTTTTCTTTGATTTCCAGGTCATCTTCTAATCGTTCTATGATTATAGCATATGATTCACTAACTTTCTTCTTCCATTCATCTAACAACAAAAAAACCCTGATTCGTAAAACACTTCAAAATGCATAAAAAACAGGAACTCAAATCATAATATCCCAGTAATCAAAACACTTGATTGTTAAACACTCAATTGTACACTGTTTCATATATTTTTCTATTAAAGTATGAAAGTTTAAAATATTACAGCTATTAAACTGTCATTGTTGCAACCAATACAGACACATATATACTGATTTAATAGACAACTAATACATATGAATCCTTATCAGAAATATTTTCAAATTGAACAAAAGAAAACTTAAACCTTAGATTGCATTTGATAGTTCTTACTTCCTAAATGTTAACATAGACACACAGCATAAAAAGGTTGGAAGTTTAAAGGTTTTTCTAATGAAGTACAAGTTAAATCAACATAATAATCTAAGTTAATATGATCTTATACGATTGCACAAAAAAAAATTAGTTTACTAGCTTTCTGTCTTCTTTTACAGACTATATATGTGATTTGGGTTAAGCCATTCTTCTTGTAAACCAAGAACAATACAATACCTTATCCTTGAACTCAAGAGTAAATTAGCCATGAGTTATTTCCTGAAATATCATTTGCTTCTTGTAGATGGATGTATGATATATTGCATTTAAAAAAGCAACATTAATTACCAGTGCAAGTTTGGGTTGGTCTAGATTTATAATTTCCCATTTGTCCAATATATCTTCTTTGTTTCAGCAAAGTTCTTGCAGTAATATGATTCCTTGTTCAAGAGCAGTGACAGTCCTACTGAAAAATGCTTTTGATAGTCTCTGGCTAAAAATAAACCCTGTGCCAAATGGAATGTCATGCAACAATGATACGGAGCAAAACAATCTGTGCTGTCAACTGTAAAAAAATAATAAAGGTACCTAATCAGCTTGCTTAAAAATCTACTGTCTGTTTCAACAGAAACATTTGTTTTCATCTGTTGAATACCTAAAACTGGTGGGAAGCAGGTAATTTGGCAGCTTGCTACCAGTTTTGTAGAGAAAAAGGAATACAAGAAGCTGAATCCCAAGCATAATTTCAGGATCCCCAAGGAGTGCTGGGGGTCCCCAGTTTGGAGAGGCCAGAGATGATCTCAGCTCATAACACTAAAATGTTTCCTAACATACAGGATGGGTTTGGACCACCTGGGTATTTTAGTTATGAAGTGCAAGTTGTGTCGTATCAGAGAGTACAGATGTTTTGTGGTTTGGTAATATTTGTACATGTTGTTATGCCAAGGAAGTCTCACTGAATTAGACTAGGAAATGAGCTGGCGGTTAGGAGTTCAGTACATTTACTTTGTGTTCTTCTGTGAGCACATACCGAACCACCACAGAGATTCACCCTCCTTGCACCAACAGGCAGCAGCAACTCAGCTGGCTAAACCAGCAATCAGACTGCTAATGAAGGATGTGAGCTGGAGGAAGCCGGGCTGGTCACAACTTACAGACTTACAATAAAGGGAGGAGACTCTTGAGGTCATTTTGCTGCTGCTCCTGCTTTGGTAGAATTTCTCCAGAAATGAATGAGGACACAATCAAGCTGCTTTGTTCGTATTCCAAGCAGATCATGTACAAGACAGCTAAGGACCAGGATCTACGTAGTTATGTAACTAAATCCTGTGCTCAATCTAATTTGTCCTGTTTGTTAGTATTTTATCTTGGATGCAGTGCCACAGCAATGTAGTAAAACCTCCATGATCTGGCTAGCTGGAAGGGTGCACTGAGCAAACTGGGCTCTGTGTGTGCACATACGTGCAAACAAACCACGACAAAATTAATCTGGACTGTGTGCACAGATGCATTCCTGTAAGAGCCTGTGCTTAAGAAGAGTGAAAGACCGCTTAATAGCAAAATAACACTGCTTTTCACTCACACAAACTGAACTTCCTCAGTAATCTGGTTAGCACAGATCTCCTTATCTATTGTCTACCCTTTTCATATCCATTTCCCTGTGTTTTCTATCAAATGGAACTACTTTACACATATTGTTCCAGCCAATTATGGGATTCAAGCTGGTTTCTGTATGTGTCTCTTTTCCTCCTTTTATTATTTTTCTTTTATTTATTTGGTATACGTATACTTATATGTGTATAAGTATATACACATATATATTTATATATTTTATATATACTTTTATATATTTAAAGTGTGTTGATTGAGCTTGGCAGCTGTTCTGTGTATAAGAAGTGCTTAGTTTTCTCAGTTAAGGATTTCAGGCAAGAAGATATGTAAATATAATACACATATATAAAATCTTCAACATGCTGCATCCCATTGTAAACAAACTTGCACTCCTCTGATAGTTCCTGACACAGCACGAGCTCATCCATCTATTTGCACTGATTTACACATAAAACCAAGGATGTGTTTCAGAACACTTTGAACTGCTTTGATAATATGCCCTGTGATATTCAACCAAATATTTGCAGAAAGGCACCAACCTTGTAACTGATCCTCCATAGCTAGTTGCCAAGCAACTGGAAGAGCTGGAAAAGCAGCATTGAGACGGGTATCTCCTCTCCCACTGCTTTTATTGGCTTAGTGCTGTTTTTCTTCGAATGTCTAAAATGCAGCCGTGGCTGTACAGCCAAAGACAAGTGGTTTGGCCATCTCTCCCACCCACTAGAGTGCTGGGGTAAAAAGGTCTGCCAGGACATGTTTGCTTCAGCCCGTATCGCCCTTGGCAGCCTGGACTATGGCAGGAACTCAGCAGTGGACCCATTTTGTCTTTTCACAGCAGTGGAGCTTTCTGAACATTTTCTGATCCATTCATGCAGCAGAATGTTAATCATATTAGGATTTTTACCTTTGATTGATTGTCAAATAAGCTAGATCAGCCTTTTTCTTCATAGCCCATGCTTTTAGGAGCTGCTCTGAAAGAAAGGAAGGCCTGCAGCTGGACTGGCCGGAGGTTCCCACCTTTGACACAGGGTGCCTCAGCGGCTGTCATGGCTGCCATGGCAGTATAGCACTTGTGCAAGTATTTGCACTCCTGCAGCATTTACGAAGCCTCTGCTGCGGATGTTGGCGATCTCAGTTCTATCAGTTCTCGGGCATGTGAGACTCGGCCTTCTCCTCTGCACCACGCGTGTGCATGCAGCGCTGCATTATGCCCTCTGCTCCACGACTCCTGCGCCAGCTGCATGGCTGTGGAGCGGGAAGGAAGCTGCACCAGCACCCGTCACCTGGAACAGCTCAGCTGGTGTGGCGCTGCCTGCCGAAAGGAAAGGAGGGAAAAGGCTTTCAACCGCAGCTAAAGGAGAGGCGATGTGACGCGAGGTGAAGCAAGGAGCAGAAAGGTGAGGTGAAGAGTGGCAAGGTGAGGTGTGCTGAGATGAGGCACAAGAGTACTGAAGTGAGGTGCTGCAAGCTGAGGAGAGGTGCCGTGAGTAGAGGCGAGGCACAGAGCAGCGAGGTGAGGAGTGGTGAGACAAGACGAGGTGAGGAGAGGCCTGGTGAGACAAAGTGAGGTGAGAAGAGGTGCGTTGAGATGGTATGAGGCAAGGTGCAGTGCAATGAGGCACAGTGACGGGGGAAGAGGTGCTGAGCAGCGAGGTGGGGCACAGTGACAGGAGGAGGTGCGGCACCCTGAGGTGAGGAGAGGTGCAGCGCGGTGCGGTGAGGCACAGTGACGGGAGGAGAGGTGAGGTGAGGCTCCCGTACTGTGACTAACCGGAGGTGGGATCCAGCAGCTCTAAGGGCAGTGACAAGCTTAGTGGAAAACCGGTTGAAGAAGTGGGACACTCCAGCAGAGGTAAGGTGAGGGGAAATGACTCACAGCAAGGAGTGAAATGCCAGGCAAAAAAATCTGGAATTGACAAAATAGGTTTTGGCACTCCCTGTGGCCTGAAGAACAAGACTTTTCTACCACCCAGACCAAGCAAACTATGACAGAAACAGGACCAGGACAGACTCCAAACCCCAAGAAATGTTCTGTTTACTTCTGCACAGAAAATGCCTTTTAATACAACAGCTGTATAAAGTAAGACCATTAAATTTCTGTGACAAGATAGAGATAAAATTATTTGCTTTAAAAGAAGTAAATGCCTTGCATATCATTTATATTCTAGTACCATCTACTTTATGGAAATACATCAAGAGGAAGCAATCAGTTTCTATACCATATTTTTATTCACTTTTTGCAAACATTTGTGTGGGTGAAGTTTCATTCATATGGACACTCAGGAAAGACCATTGGAAACTACAGCACAGGAGGATAATCTGGTCAGTCAGCAAAGTCAATGCAACAGCTTTGTTCACCATGAAGGCAACTTTCAGGTGAATTCTTGAAGCATTCACATCATAGGCTATGTGAAGCAGTTGCAGAATAATTGAAACTAGGAGGGAAAAAAAAAAACAAAAATCAATAATAATTGCAGAGCCTGTTTTCAGACCATTTGCAAACAGAGAAGGAAGGGATAACTGCACTGACCACTATGTTAGGCCAGTTCTAATTAACATCTATACAAGTAGCACTAAAATGTCAAGAGCAATGTTTTTCAGTGAGTAAAATCTTCAGATGTAATGTTTACATAATGCTGAGCTCCACAGATTTCTTTGATTAATTTTTTAGAAGGTTTCTTGCAATTTTATGTTTGGAACGTGCAGCTGTCATGTCCAATCTTACAAGAGAAATGTGAAAAATCCTTTTCCCATTTCTGGTTTTAAATGTCCTTCACCAGGAGCCTTTACAGGATTAAGTCTTTTGAAATGATCTTTATTTCAAATTAATTAGAACATATCCATATCTATCATTTACTTCGAGAGCCTGTAAGTTGCTCCTATACATTTCGTTGTAATTCTGGTGACATTCAGATATGTCACAGAAAATGAAAAGGACGTTAAAAGAAAATGTATTTTTATGAAAACAAAGTACAAGAAACTCTGTAGCCCATATAATGAAACAGGTGTTTACAATAGCTTCTCTGTGGCAGTGGATTAACAGAAGTGTACAGAAGAATAGTACTGCTATTTTTGTTCTCACAATACTACAGTGACATTTGCACAGGTATTAATCTTCCACATGTGCAGAGAGAAGAAAATGAAGCTGTTGCATTAGAGATTTAGGAACAAGAAGAGGCTGGAACCACTGAGCTCTAGTACAGACAATCTCCCTGTCCAAGGCAAGAATATTTCTACACAGATCCAAATGATTGTTGGAACTCACTTTCTTTCGTCAGTTCCCCAAATCCTTCTGGCACAGATATCTTTCAGCTGCTCGTGTTTATTTCAGCTGCCTTCCCTTGTGTTCTTTTTTAAGTGCCCAATTTCTCAGATTTCAATTTCCTGCCTAAAAGGTTACTGAAATAATCCTCCTCTCTCAAATTTCATAGTGTAATATATACAGTATGGCTAAATCTCTGTTCATTATAGCATGCTTTCAAGGCATTCAGGGAAATCATTAAGATGATGTTCATTATGAGCCCTATTATTGCACTACACAGCAAAACTAATTAAATAAAGAAAGCTGACATGAATAAAATCATTAAACACTCATCTTGGTTTTATTTGAGACTGTACCAGCCTGAGCTGCGTTTCAGGATAGACGGAGCCAGGCAATAATCTAAAGGCCTGTACAAAAACTGCATCCATCTAGGAAACTCAGTAAGTCTTAATCAAAATCAAACTCCAAATTTCAGGAGATGCCTCCTGTTCTTAGAAGGTCCTACCTGACTGTCA